TTCGGAGCAAGAATTTGCCACGCTTGGTGATGGTTTGAGCCAAGCTGCTGTAGAAAACGCCAAAGCAAGATGCTCGACCTGGGGGACTGAGGTGGACAGAAGAATCAAGCATGTAATGAGAATGCCTGGAGAACTGGCAAGAGATGCAGAACTTTCATCAGAAGAAGAAATTGTGCGCGTTATGAATAATGTATTTGATTGGCTTCAACATGAGATGTCAACACGTTTTTCACGAATAAAAGACCTGAACAATAAATTTGAATTTTTGCAGAACGTTAAGACTCTTCTATCTGGCACAGATGAGGATGCAATTCGTCAAAATTGTGCAGATTTTGCAAATTTCTACAACACGGACGTCAATGGCTACTAACTTTTCATTGAAATTGGTGATTGCAGAATGCTGCTCCATAACCAAACTGAAGCTCTACCAGAAACTCCCTTGGATCTTCTTGGTTTTATTGCGTTTTATGGAGATGGAGTATTTCCGAATTTGGGAATTTCACAACAAATTTTGCTAAAAATAGCAGTTTCAATTGCAAGTTGTGAGCGGTCGTTTAGCAAATTGAAACTGAATTTGTCGTATCTGCGTGCATTAATGGGACAGGATCGTCTCATTGATCTTGCTCTTCTTAGCGTTGAAAGAGAAATATTGGAAAAACAGATTTCAATAACGTGATTGGCCAGGTTGCGATAGTGAAATCAGGAAAAATAAATGTATTGTAGACTATGTGAATTATCTTTGACAATGTCTGGGTGAGTCATATGCAATAAATTGTATAATATTGCTTCTTCTTTAAAAACAATTGTCCATTGAAATGTGAACTGTTTTTCCGTATACAGTAAGGAATACAATGTTATTGTAAGAAAAATGCGATTAAACACGCAGGAAGGGGTGCCAATTATATAGTTTGCCCCCGAGTGCAAAATACCTTGGCTACGCCTCTGTCTGAATAATAAACAATGTCGCATTTTCTCTAAGTATTTTGATAGAGTGACGTTAACGATCCCTTTATTTTAAACAGCCTGCATACGATTTACTTTCTTTTCATCAGGCAACATTGAAAAACGGTGCTTGTAATGTTTAGCTTTTCAAATGGTTAAAAGACGCGTTTTTTTGCCTTTATATCATATTCAACTGATATTTCTCGTCGTCTCTTTGCCTTGTCGTTTAGGCACTCCATTTAGCAGCTACACAACTATTTGTGCACATTGCTTCATGGCCTGTAAAATGTTTTTTCTCATGTTACCATCGTTTTCCATATTCTTCGTCAGTTAAATTCAGAGAATAAACTTTAGATTTCAAATGGCATATAGGTACATGTGCAAAAATTTTTAATGTGAAACAAACAAAATATGTAGTTACAACAACCTGTAAACACTATAAAAACTTGTTTACAATTATAAATACCTTTCAACTGTAGACAACGCAAATCGTTTTGAATTTTTGTATTTGCGTTACCCCCAGCCAATAAACAAGCCATTAGAAAAGACTTTATATGCAACCAATCAGCTGTGAACTTGTTTGGTCTCATCTTATCATTATTATTTTAAGACTGGCAAGGTAATGGCATCATACTAACACATTTAAGGTATATTTTCATAAACTTTTTACAACAAAAATCTATCCATGGCATGAAAATGGGCTTTGTATAATTTATAGAGTAAGTGCCAAAGTGGAAAATTATAATTATAATTATAGATAATTATATTGATATAATATATATTAATCCTAACACGGTTTTAATATGCACATGAAAAACATGTGACTTAAAAACGGCGGACTAGTATCCCGAAAGTGCGAGTTCAAATCTCGTCCAAGTCACATGTTTTTCATGTGCATACTTTCTATGTGCATTCTCTGTGGACCTGTAGCTAAAAAATTAGAACGATGAAATAGAATCTTGAAGTTGTGAGTTCAAATCTCGTCCAAGTCTCATGTTTTTCATGTGCATATTTTCCATGTGCATTCTCTGTGGACCTGTAGCTCAAAAGTTAGAACGGTGGAGTAGAATCTTGAAGGTGTGAGTTCAAATCTCGTCCAAGTCTCATGTTTTTTGATGTTCGTATTACAGCCGTGTTAGGATTAATATATTATATATATTCTCTGATGATTACCTAGCCCCATCTTTAATATTCATTTTATGCCACCCTAAGCTTTCGTTTACTAAAATTATCAGAATAATGATTTAAACCATTGTGAGCAACCAACTTTATAAAAAAATGAAAATCTTTATTACAACTCAAGCATGTTGCTTCTTTATTTCAATAAGAGTTCACTAGATGAGAAACAAATTCTTACTTTTTTAATAGAATAGTTATGGCTCTTTTTTATACTATTTGAGATTGATGAGATGGTATGTTTTAAATTTGTTTGCTTTTTCCGAGATTAAGATTACGACTCCACAAAACAGACAAATACTGACGCCAACTTAAAACTCGCATGATTAGTTTAAAATAGGTAATGTACAATTATACCTGTACATTTCATTATACGTGTTTGTGTTTCATAGTTCATGCCTTAAATTTTGCATGAAGCTTCGAGTGGCTTGTTTTCATCTGTTTTATATGCCAGCATCAAATAAGATAATTAGATGCAGCTAAAAAAAAGAAAACCACTGTTTTATATTAAAAGCATATTGCTCAATAAGATAAATAGAAATTCTTAATTATGTTTACAAATATTGAAATTTCAGATTTTTGCCACACATGAAGCTGCGTAAGTTTGCAAAACAATGCTATAATTTGATTCCCAAACATGATTCAAAAAATGTCGTCAGAAAAATGACTTATTTTTAAATTTCTGAATATCTTAATAAACTAAAACAATAATCATTAAAACACGTTAATTATTATGAGATTGTGTTTTATATAAGCCTATTCTCTAAGAAAAGAGTTTAAGGTCGGGCAAAACAAGTTGAAACAATTATTGGTCACTAAGTTTTATTCTAAAAGTGCTTATAATACGAATTTTAGCCCCCTTTTTTATGAGCTTAGTTGAAATTTTGGATTATTTGAAGAACTGTGAAATGTCGTCGGACTTAAACAGATAAATATAAGTTCCTTAATTTTGCCTCCAAAGTCGGGTACTATTTGCGAATTTTTTACGACGCCATATTGATACATGTGACGTAGATAGTTGAACACTTCTGTTTCCGTCAATATAATATTATATTATAGGAGGTGATTTTGTTGTCGTTTTTCTTGTCTTAAAAACAAATGATGATAGTATTTTCAATAAAATATTAAGAAACAAGTTTTCCGGAAAGTATGGCCTCAAATCAGTGCTCAGATAATTCAAATTCGATGTCTGAATGCGTATCTGATTCGAGCTCGGAATCCGTGGGTTATGTTGAGCATTTAAACGACTTCGCATATGACGATGAACCCCTCGCAGGAGATGGTGATGAAACACATACTCCAGATGATCCCGATGGAATTCTCCCTGCGATATTAGAACAACGAAGTGATGGCGTAATTCCACTCGGTATATGGTAAGTTGCTGTTTTCTCCTGTTTGTAATATATATAAAGTTACTTTATAAACCACAATGCTCCCACGTTTCAGATGTAATTGTCAATGCTGTCATAACGATTTGTTAGAAGTCAAATTAGAGTTCAGATGCTGAAAGGAAATAGGACCAGCTTTGCAGAAAATGACATTCGGTGGCAGCATTGAGAAAATATCGTACATAACACAGCAATACGTTTATTAACATACCAGATATCATTAAAGTGCTTTGTTTCTTTTTTTCGTTTCGGATCAACTTTGCAATCCCTTTGTGCCTGTCACTGATAAAAACATCCATGGTAACCGCAGATTTCTCAAGAGACTGAAAAGATCTTTTTGCTCCCTCCAGTTCCATGTCATTACTGCTACCAACTTCACTGGCCTGCTTAAAAATCAAAATGCTTCCATCATTGAAAGTAAAAACACTACAAACAATGATTTCTATCATTCGATAATACCTGAAGCAATTCAAAATGAACCAGCTTTGATGTTGTGTTGCTCTGAATTGTGTACACTCCATATTTCACACTGTGCACAAATGTAGTTAAAAAACCATACAAATGCAATTTTTAGGTATTCAATCAAATGTTGAAAATACATTTCTTGTGATGATAAAAAGCACACTGTATAATAATTTCCAGAAATTTATTAACTTTTATTAATAACGTTATGTAATTTAAAAAATGGACTTTAAAAATTAATCCAAACTTTGTAGTTATAATACTATAAATTTAAAAATATGTTGAAATAGTTAGACCAGCCCTATCAGAGAATTGAACACTGGACCCCTGGTTTACAAGACCAGTGCTCTAACCACTGAGCTAATATGACTCTTACAAAACTGCACAAATATTACAGTGTTTAACTATAACTCTCTAGATAAATGTATTTAAAAAAACAATCAAATGGAATTGTTAACCATGCAACCAGATTTTAAAGATTTATTTTTCGTTGTGATGAATAAAAGAAAATACTGGATAGTTTAGAGGAGAACGTTTTTGACATTTATGAATAACGTTATCTAATTTTTAAGTTTAACTTTAAAATTCAATCCTAATTTGGTGGTTGTAATGCTTTAACTTCGGAAAATTGTTTATCCTTGGTAGACTAGACTTGTCAATGAATCGAAGTCTGTATCCCTTATTATAAGGCGAGTGCTCATTTATCTAAGCTAATTAGGCTGTTAAAGCCTGTAAAATTCCTTCTTCTTTAGTCATAACTCTTCAAAAAATTTAGTTATTTAACAATTCAAAGCAACTTTTAAGCATGCCACCATATATTAAAATTATTTATATTGTGTTAATTCATAACCTAAGAATACCGTCATGAAATCCGTTATAAAATCTTAAAAGAAGTCGAGAATAGTTTATACAAGATAATTTTGGTCTTCTTTTTTAACGTTAAGTAATATGAATGATTCCCTTTAAAGCATAAACTTAATTTGGTAGTTTAATGGTCTTACATGTGAGAAAAATTTTCAAGCTTGCTACACTAGCCTTATCAGAGAATTGAACTCTGTACCCCTGGTTTACTTGACCAGTGCTCTAACCGCTGAGCTAATAAGGCTACTACATAATGCATTAGATTAAGTTTGTTTATATACAACTGACTGGAAAAATGTAGTTAAAAAAGAATAAAAATGCAAATTTTAAGCATGCAATCAAATGTCGAAAATACATTTCTTGTGATGAGAAAAAGAAGCACACTGTATAATAATTTCCAGAAATTTATAAACTTTTATTAATAACGTTATGTAATTTAAAAAATAGACTTTAAAAATTAATCCAAACTTTGTAGTTATAATACTATAAATTTCAAAATATGTTGAAATAGTTAGACCAGCCCTATCAGAGAATTGAACTCTGTACCCCTGGTTTACTAGACCAGTGCTCTAATCGCTGAGCTAATAAGGCTGTTACGTAAAGCACAATTTTTAGCTTCTTCATATACAATTCTCTGGAAAAATGTAGTTAACAAACCATACAAATGCAACTTTTAGGCATGCAATCAAATGTTGAAAATACATTTCTTGTGATGATAAAAAGAAGCACACTGTATTATAATTTCCTGAAATTTATTAACTTTTATTAATAAAGTTATGTAATTTAAAAAATGGACTTTAAAAATTAATCCAAACTTTGTAGTTATAATAATATAAATTTCAAAATATGTTGAAATAGTTACATTAGCCCTATCAGAGAATTTCACTCTGGACCCCTGGTTTACAAGACCAGTGCTCCAACCACTGAGCTAACAAGGCTCTTACAAAACTGCACAAATATTACAGTGTTTAATTATAACTCTCTAGCTAAATGTATTTAAAAAATCAATCAAATGCAATTGTTATTCATGCAACCAGATTTTTAAGCTTTATTTTTCGTTGTGATGAATAAAAGAAAATACTGGATAGATTAGAGGAGAAAGTTTTTGACATTTATGAATAACGTTATCTAATTTTAAAGTTTAACATTTAAATTCAATCCTAATTTGGTAGTTGTAATACTTTAACTTGGACAAAATTGTTTATCCTTGGTAGACCAGACTTATCAATGGATCGAAGTCTGTATCCCTTATTATAAGGCCAGTGCTTAGTTATCTAAGCTAATTAGGCTGTTGAAACCTATTAAATTCCTTCTTCTTTAGTCATAACTCTTCAAAAAATTCAGTTATTTAACAATTCAAAGCAACGTTTAAGGATGCAACCAGATATTAAAATTATTTATATTGTGTTGATTCATAACCTAAGAATACCGTCATGAAATCCGTTATAAAATCTTAAGAGAAGTCGAGAATAGTTTATATAAGATAATTTTTGGTCTCCTTTTTTAACGTTAAGTAATATGAATGATTCACTTTAAAGCATAAACCTAATTTGGTAGTTTAACTGTCTTAAATTGGAGAAAAATTTTTAAGCTTGCTAAACTAGCCTTATCAGCGAATTGAACTCTGGACACCGGGTTTACAAACCAGTTCTGTAACCACTGAGCTAATAGGGCTACTATGTAATGCATTAATTTTAGTTTTTTTATAAGCAACTCTCCAAAGAAATGTAGTTAAAAACCATGCAAATGCAATTTTTAGGTATACAATCCAATGTTGAAAACACATTTATTGTGATGATAAAAAGAAGCACACTGTATAATAATTTCCAGAAATTTATTAACTTTTATTAATAACGTTATAAAATTTATAATATTATAACCTAAGAATACCGTCATGAAATCTGTTATAAAATCTTAAGATAAGTCGAGAATAGTTTATACAAGGTAATTTTGGTCTTCTTTTTTGACGTTATGTATTATGAATGATTCACTTCAAAACATAAATTTAATTTCGCAGATTAATTGTCTTAAGTTTGAGTAAAATTTTTAAGCATGTTAGACCAGCCTTATCAGAGAATTGAACTCTGGACCCCTGGTTTACTAGACCAGTGCTGTTACCACTGAGCTAATAAGGCTATTACGTAATTCATTAGATTTAGTTTGTTTATATACAACTGTCTGGAAAAAGGTAGTTAAAAAACAATACAAATGCAAATTTTAGGTATGCAATCCAATGTTGAAAACACATTTCTTGTGATGATAAAAAGAAGCACACTGTATAATAATTTCCAGAAATTTATTAACTTTTATTAATAACGTTATGTAATTTAAAAAATGGACTTTAAAAATTAATCCAAACTTTGTGGTTATAATACTATAAATTTCAAAAATATGCTGATCTAGTTAGACCAGCCTTATCAGAGAATTGAACTCTGGACCCCTGGTTTACAAGACCAGTGCTCTAACCGCTGAGCTAATAAGGCTGTTATAAAACTGCATAAATATTACATTGTTTAACTATAACTCTCTAGCTAAATGTATTTAAGAAATCAATCAAATAAAATTGTTAACCTTGCAACCAGATTTTAAAGCTTTATTTTTAGAGGTTATGAATAAACGAAGATACTGGATAGTTTAGAGGAGAAAGTTTTTGTCATTTATGAATAAGGTTATCTAATTTTAAAGTTTAACTTTAAAATTCAATCCTAATTTGGTAGTTGTAATACTTTAACTTTGAAAAAGTTGTTTATCCTTGGTAGACCAGACTTGTCAAAGAGTCGAAACTGTATATCTTATTATAAGGCCAGTGCTCAGTTATCTTAGCTCATTAGGCTGTTAAAACCTGTAAAATTCCTTCTTCTTTAGTCATAACTCTTCAAAAAATTTAGTTATTTAACAATTCAAAGCAACTTTTAAGCATGCAACCAGATATTAAAATTATTTGTATTATGTTAATTCATAACCTAAGAATACCGTCATGAAATCTGTTATAAAATATTAAGAGAAATCGAGAATAGTTTATACAAGATAATTTGGTCTTCTTTTTTAACGTTAAGTATTATGAATGATTCACTTCAAAGCATAAATTTAATTTGGCAGTTTAATTGTCTTAAGTTTGAGTAAAATTTTTAAGCTTGTTAGACCAGCCTTATCAGAGAATTGAACTCTGGACCCCTGGTTTACTAGACCAGTGCTCTTACCACTGAGCTAATAAGGCTATTACGTAAAGAATAAGATTTAGTTTGTTTATACACAACTCTCTGAAAAAATGTAGTTAACAAACCATACAAATGCAGTTTTTAGGTATGCAATCGAATGTTGAAAACACATTTCTTGTGATGATAAAAAGAAGCACACTGTATAATAATTTCCAGAAATTTATTAACTTTTATTAATAACGTTATGTAATTTAAAAAATGGACTTTAAAAATTAATTCACACTTTGTGGTTATAATACTATAAATTTCAAAAATATGCTGATCTAGTTAGACCAGCCTTACCAGAGAATTGAACTCTGGACCCCTGGTTTACAAGACCAGTGCTCTAACCGCTGTGCTAATAAGGCTGTTATAAAACTGCATAAATATTACATTGTTTAACTATAACTCTCTAGCTAAATGTATTTAAAAATCAATCAAATAAAATTGTTAACCATGCAACCAGATTTTAAAGGTTTATTTTTAGAGATTATGAATAAACGAAGATACTGGATAGTTTAGAGGAGAAAGTTTTGACATTTATGAATAAGGTTATCTAATTTTAAAGTTTAACTTTAAAGTTCAATCCTAATTTGGTAGTTGTAATACTTTAACTTTGAAAAAGTTGTTTATCCTTGGTGGACCAGACTTGTCAAAGAATCGAAACTGTATACCTTATTATAAGGCCAGTGCTCAGTTATCTTAGCTCATTAGGCTGTTAAAACCTGTAAAATTCCTTCTTCTTTAGTCATAACTCTTCAAAAAATTTAGTTATTTAACAATTCAAAGCAACTTTTAAGCATGCAACCAGATATTAAAATTATTTGTATTATGTTAATTCATAACCTAAGAATACCGTCATGAAATCTGTTATAAAATATTAAGAGAAATCGAGAATAGTTTATACAAGATAATTTGGTCTTCTTTTTTAACGTTAAGTATTATGAATGATTCACTTCAAAGCATAAATTTAATTTGGCAGTTTAATTGTCTTAAGTTTGAGTAAAATTTTTAAGCTTGTTAGACCAGCCTTATCAGAGAATTGAACTCTGGACCCCTGGTTTACTAGACCAGTGCTCTTACCACTGAGCTAATAAGGCTATTACGTAATGCATTAGATTTAGTTTGTTTATAGACAACTCTCTGGAAAATGTAGTTAACAAACCATACAAATGCAACTTTTAGGTATGCAATCCAATGTTGAAAACACATTTCTTGTGATGATAAAAGAAGCACACTGTATAATAATTTCCAGAAATTTATTAACTTTTATTAATAACGTTATGTAATTTAAAAAATGGACTTTAAAAATTAATCCAAACTTTGTGGTTATAATACTATAAATTTCAAAAATATGCTGATCTAGTTAGATCAGCCTTATCAGAGAATTAAACTCTGGACCACTGGTTTACAAGACCAGTGCTCTAACCACTGAGCTAATAACGCTGTTATAACACTGCATAAATATTACATTGTTTAACTATAACTCTCTAGCTAAATGTATTTAAGAAATCAATCAAATAAAATTGTTAACCATGCAACCAGATTTTATAGGTTTATTTTTAGAGATTATGAATAATAGAAAATACTGGATAGATTAGAGGAGAAAGTTTTTGACATTTATGAATAACGTTATCTAATTTTAAAGTTTAACATTAAAATTCAATCCTAATTTGATAGTTGTAATACTTTAACTTTGAAAAAGTTGTTTATCCTTGGTAGACCAGACTTGTCAAAGAATCGAAACCGTATACCTTATTATAAGGCCAGTGCTCAGTTATCTTAGCTCATTAGGCTGTTAAAACCTATAAAATTCCTTCTTCTTTAGTCATAACTCTTCAAAAAATTTAGTTATTTAACAATTCAAAGCAACTTTTAAGCATGCAACCAGATATTAAAATTATTTGTATTATGTTAATTCATAACCTAAGAATACCGTCATGAAATCTGTTATAAAATATTAAGAGAAATCGAGAATAGTTTATACAAGATAATTTGGTCTTCTTTTTTAACGTTAAGTATTATGAATGATTCACTTCAAAGCATAAATTTAATTTGGCAGTTTAATTGTCTTAAGTTTGAGTGAAATTTATAAGCTTGTTAGACTAGCCTTATCAGAGAATTGAACTCTGGACCCCTGGTTTACAAGACCAGTGCTCTAACCGCTGAGCTAATAAGGCTGTTACAAACCTGAATAAATAGTACATTGTTTAACTATAACTCTCTAGCTAAAAGTACTTAAAAAATCAATCAAATAAAATTGTTAACCATGCAACCAGATTTTAAAGGTTTATTTTTCGTGGTTATGAATAAAAGACGATACTGGATAGTTTAGAGGAGAAAGATTTGACATTTATGAATAAGGTTATATAATTTTAAAGTTTAACTTTAAAATTCAATCCTAATTTGGTAGTTGTAATATTTTAACTTTGAAAAAGTTGTTTATCCTTGGTGGACCAGACTTGTCAAAGAATCGAAATCTGTATACCTTATTATAAGGCCAGTGCTCAGTTATCTTAGCTCATTAGGCTGTTAAAATCTGTAAAATTCCTTCTTCTTTAGTCATAACTCTTCAATAAATTTAGTTATTTAACAATTCAAAGCAACTTTTAAGCATGCAAACAGATATTAAAATTATTTGTATCATGTTAATTCATAACCTAAGGATACTGTCATGAAATCTGTTATAAAATCTTAAGAGAAGTCGAGAATAGTTTATACAAGATAATTTGGTCTTCTTT